TCAGCTAACTTTGACATTTTTTTTTTTAAAAATAACAAATTTTTATTTTATACTTTTGAAGTTTTTAGATATAAAAAAGAAGAGATATAAAAAACATAACAATAATTGAATTAGAAAACTCAAATTGTCATAGTCTCGAGAAGTTGTCATTGGACTTGTAGAATTTTTTATTCTAAAGGGTTTTATAACAGATTATGCAAGAAAATTTGTTAACTTAATTTGAGAAATTGTTTATTATACGTTTCACTTAAGTGAATTTAGAATTAAATTTTGTCGTAATGACTCTATTGTGAACTAAATTAGTTGGATTTTGTGGTAACGTCGTATATACACATTTAAAATCTACAACTCCTAAAAGTATGCAATTGAATAAAATTTACAATTATTGTTCACAAAACAGTGTGTTAGCCTTACCACTTACTTTTAGTAACATGTTAAAAAATTAGTCGTACGATAATTCAAGGCTACAAACGAAAAACGGTCTTGACTTGTATATGTTTGAACAGTCTTCTACTTTAAAGAAATAACAAGGTGTTGTCATTCAAAACGATATAGTGTTGTCGTTTTTAGATCATGATATAGTAAACTCCATTTAATATCTGTTGCCCTACTAAAAAGAAAATTATGCACGTACATTTATTTTCATGTCTTTTAATACTCTTGCAGCTACGATAAATAACAAGACATGATGTGTATAATAAATTTTTATATTTATGATGTCGTCAAATACATAAAAACTGTTATATTTTTAATTTTTATATAGTTATACACCTATTAATTTATTATAACTATATATGAGACATTTTTTCATTATAATTAAAATGCATAATTTAAAAGCAAGTACTTAATTACATGCATAGAATTAAAAATAATTTAATCATATTATTTATGTTTTATATGATATTGAAAATGCTTGACTAAAATTGAATAAGTACCACGCATACACACATATATTAGTTATACGTATAACAAGTATTCGTAAGTACAATAAATATTTTAATAAATAGCGTGCGAGACACTTAAAATTTCTCAGTTATTGAAGTTCAGTTATGAGGAAATACTTACGTTTTATATAAGAGGATGATAAATTAACTTTGAAAATATTAACATTAAAATTTTTTAATTCTTGTGGTACTCAGACACACGACATTCTAGTTTGTATCTATGTGAAATTGAGTTGTACTTGTAAGATGAAAGTTGAAAGAATTTACACAGAATGAAGGAAAAAACTTCAATTCAACTTTAATGTTGGCGTAATTATTATAAAAGTTTTACAGTTACAAATTAAAAAGTAGAATTTTCAAGATTAAAAACATGTTGAAAGATTTTCTTCTGATATTTACAAGAATATTTTCTCATTTAACAGAACCTTCATTTACAAATTTACATTATAGTGTTATGATTAGCATATTTATTGTATGTATATCATAAAATGTGAATGAAAACAAGATGATCTTCATACAAAAAATTTTTTTACTTAACTATCTAGTTTTACTTTATTTAAGGCAAAAATTATTACATAATAAGCATATGTTGAGAGTTTTAAAAAAATGTAATTTTGATATTATTTTTTTAATTATGAATAACGGTTTAATTTGTTCTTCTTTCATAATGGAATTGAATACAAAATCTTTGTAAATATAAGTGTGTGAATTAAAAAAAATTACGTAAATTTTATTAAATAATCAACCTTAATTGTATTACAAATTTCAGAGTTTCCTTAAATACTTAAAATTAAAAAAATATTTAAATGTGTTCTCAAGAGATGTCGTAACAGGCATATCGTATACGAGTTTGAGCCCCAAATTGCAGCATAATTCCAGTTAAAATTATAAATCCAGAAACAGAAACCTTTATATGAGGCTAAAGCACTCATTTTTATTAACATTTTTATGAAAAAAGCAATAATTATTACTAAACTCTGGTAACCAATAATACGAGTATGACATATACTCAGTGCTTATGTTGATTAGAATTTTATTTTAGAACGAGTTATGCTATGAATTACTAACGCAACTCAATTTTTTTTTAAATTCTGGTAATGTAAAATTGATTTGAAAATTGTGATCACAATTGTATATGAAGGAGAAGAAAAAATTTCACCCTTCTGTGATGGGAAAAAAGAGAAAAAACTACTTGTTTCTTGCTGTTTAAGGTCCTTCGTTATGATTTGACGAAAAAATTCGATGTTTATTTTACAGATGCATAATAATAATTTTACTCAAACTTAGTTTTATTTAATTGGAATTTCCTTTTGTTTTGAACAAAAATCATCTTATGACGCATTCTTGTGCGACCCCAACAATAGCAACAAAATGACATTTTACACATAAGAAAACAAAAGAATTAAGTTGAAAACTTGATATGGGTATAAGTTCACTTATCCATAAACATTTCTCAAGTTTTAACACACGGAATGGTGACGCAAAATGTGAAAATTTAAGAAAAAACAAAAAAAAGGTTTTTCGTCATTTTATCCAAGAATTGTTCCGAAATTTTTCGGAGCAATTCAATTAATTTATGATAAAGATAAGTTCTTAGCGAGATTACTGTTAATGCAAAGATATGACTTCGGTATAAAGATAAGGCTAGAAAAGTTTGTCACTTTAGGTCTGTTTTTAAATGGGAGGCAGAATTGTTTGATATGCAGTAGGAAAAACAACGAAATGGCGATGATAGGTTTTTTAACTAGCCAATATAGGCTTCCCTAACATTTGCACAAATTGGAAATGACTGCAAAAAATTATTCCATGACGAGAATGAGTCGACTAAAGATATTTTTTTGGTATTGAACTGCAATTTCGAATGGATTGCAATGTGACTTCTATATTTTTACAGAGACCTGAAATTCTTTCTCCTAAATTGTTGGATTTAATACTTCCGCAAATTACAGAAAGTGTGAATCTATCATGAATCTTGTAAGAGGTGTGTTGTTACAGATTTATGCCTGACACGACTGCTAAATTGAAATGTCATTTAAACCAGTCGCGCATTTTCATTTGCTTATGCATTTTAAAATTAAATTGAACATTTTTATTGTTATACACACAATATCAAAGATTGCCCATATTAAATCAACCGCAAACTTTCAATACCTGCACAAACATGTTAATGTTAATATATACAAAGAAGGTACAAATGTACGTACACATTTTAATAACACAACAAAAGAATATTTAGAGAGAACAAAATGCTTAATATCAACAACAAAAACAAAAAAGGTCAACGATCAAATTTTTCTCATATACTTACATACTCAATATGCACGTACTTGCTAAAGAAGCTTTCAGAAGTTCATGTTTTACTGATGTTAACGTTATCGACGTTGTTAGATTGTGTGTACTACAACTTTTTTTTTGTTTTGTTTTTCGATAATTTGATGTTTTCCCTTCTATTTTTTCTACTCAAACTTACCAACTTTCTCTTTAAGAATCGACACATTTAAGAATGTTTTCGTTATTTTAGTGTGATTTAGTTGTTAAAATTTCGGTTTTCATTTTTTTTGGTTTACTTCTACGGTAAATTATTCAATTACTGCGAGAATCACTATTCATTCGTTCTATCATCTGAGAATATTTTAACAATATTAAATTACAAAATGCTCACTCATTAAATAAAAATATCAATTTAAGCTCAAAAATGTCAAAACACAAACTTTTAACACTTTTTAATCTTGAATCTTGATTGTGTCTTTGAATAATCGGTTTGGGTTTTGTTGTATTATGGTGGTAAGCACACGTAATTAAATAGAAAGAAAAAACTCATTTGTTTTGTTGTTTTTGTCTCATGTGAAATTTTTACTTTTCTCTCTTTTGTGTTTTTTTTTTGCTAACTACGCTTAATAGAAATGTTGGTATTAATCATCTTAAATTTTGATATAAAAATGATTTTTGTATTTTAATATTTTTGGCTGGAGGTGGAATTTTGACCTAAAAAATGGGAGAATAAATAAAAATGAAAAAAAAAAAAGTAGAAAATATTTGTGTTAAGATGATGGTTTATTTTGAATTTAAATTGATTGTGAGTTTTTGTGTGAATGACGTCTGCACAGATGATACGAACATTTTTATGAGTTATGCATACAAACATGTATGAAATTGAAATTTAATACAAGAATATTGTTCGTTTTCTAAGTGTTATACAATTTGTATGTACCTACACTTTGTTGGTGTACTTGTAAGAATGCGTGAATTGGGGAAAAAAACTATTTGTTTGAAATTTTTATTATAAAATTTTTTGGATGTAAGACAAATTTAGAGAAACAAGTGCAAATGGTAGAATAGTGGGAAATTATACTTTTGCTACGAAATTGAATGTGATATTAATTTATGAGCTCATGTGAATTTTACATTAATTCCGAATTAGGTTTTTAATATCCAGTTAAGGGAACATGTAATGCAGATTGGATAATTACTCAATGCGACTTAGGAGACATGCAGCGGTCCCTTATCAGGTATCTTATTATATATATACAGTACATACAAAAGTGTAGTTTTCCTACCAGTGATTTTTGTCTGGTTTAAAGTTTGAAGTATATGGAAGTCCACGGATTTTGTTTGATTTTATAAACCGAATTTCATCCACTCACATCATCAGGCAATATTTAAGCAGTTCCTTTAGTCTTTGAACTAAATATTTCACAATTTGACACCTTTATTTAAATTAGTTTAAGGGTGCCCTGCAGATGTGGAAGGTTTCCATATCCGCAGATGTGGAAATAGCTTCACATATTTAATTTACATTGTATTTACATTCTGTCTAGCAGGTGTTTGTGAGAGGTCTGTAACTATTTTCATGTAATTATAGTTCGCCACAATTAATATTGCGTATTTTAATTTCGATTTGCTATGTTGTTGAAGTTTTTATTGATCGTCTATTTTTTCGCGTTTAATGTGATGTAAGATTGCTGAGTATTGCTTAAATTTATTTTTAAAATCTTTTATAAAAAAAAAACTTTAAAATCATTTAAAATAATTGTAATTTTTTTTATTTCTTTTTAGCTAATCGACTATTTTACAGAAAAATCGTAATTTATCAGGAATTTTAAGCGAAACAAAGGGAAAAAAAAACAATATTTAAAAATGAATTCCGGCGTCATTCTTTGAATAAACTAAAAATAAAATAAGGTGAGTTGAATTTTTTTTTGTTCAAATGTAACACCCTTTTTTCTAATGTTAGTTATAAAATGAAATATTTTTGTTCATTTATTCTAAAATTCTACCAAATAATAAAAAAAAACCTGACAATTTTCTAAAATCTATAATAATCAATCAAATAGAAAAAAGGGAGATAAATTATAAAAAATTTTTAATGGCATCAATCATTTAACTCAGTTGCTTCTCAATTGCTAGACGAAAAAAAATATGGTATCAGTGCTAAAAATTAGTTTGAAGCTCAGATGCAAAAAGTTCTTTAACATGAAAATTTGTATCGTGATAAGATCGAGAAATCCGTTTTCCACTTATAACACTCCACAAATTCACTGTTGAAGCTGTTTGAAGTTTTATAACCTGGTTAGCTTAAGTAGATCAGTGGGCTTCCTTAATAGAGAAATCATGGAACGTGACAGTTTTTGGAGAAATTTTAAAATCCGCGTCAATTTAAGTTTTGCACATTACACTTTCCCCTAGATTTTGAATTCAACTGACTTTTGATTAATCAGGAAACTTCACTTTATTCACACTTTAGTTTAAGCTTGTATTTGATGGTTCAAGAGTTCCTAAAAGATTACGGAATTTTGTATAAAAAAAATGTAGACATCTTGTTTGGTCCGTTGGTAAAGGAATGTTGTATTTTAACAATTGTTAAATGCTCCTACCGTAAAGCCGTGCCAAAAGATATTTTTACTCCGAGCCGATTAGATATTTATACTCCTAGCCGTATAGTTCTATACCAAAAAATATTTTTACGTAATCTTTTAAAGTAATCCGAAGAAATAATCGGGGTCGTCCAGTGAATTGGGTTGATCAAATAAATGAGTTGAATCTGTTAATCCGTTAATTTACTGGCGTGATGTAACTGACTCAACTTGTCATTCGATCAATATGACTTACCGGCAATAAGTTAATATGAGCCCATTTCATCAGTATTATATATTATGTTTAGGTTTCTTCGACTCCTTTTTCGGAAACCTTTTCGATTTATTGACTTAAGTATTTTTTTTATACCCTTGAGTAGATTTTACCAACTTCGTAATTTCACTTTTTTCTATTGTCTGAGATATAAAGACATGACAACACACACAACATATGCAAACGATCCTTAAGCTATTTTCGTAATTAGTTTCTTTATATTTATTTTTTTGTGTGTTAGTATGCATATAGATTTTTTTTTTATGAATAGATGCTTCAAGAGATCTATAAAATTCTTAACAATTTTTTAAATGAGAAGCAGACGGCGGTCATCGGTAAATTCTCAAAAGGATTCTTTTTCTTATTTTACTTCATCTTCTTTATATCTTTTCTCTTCTTTTCAATCGCTACTGATTATTTTTAAAGTTATAAAATCCTATATAACTTTAGTACACCCATTATTTTTTTTTCAGAATGGTTTTTCAATAAAAATCATGTGGTTTTAAATTGCTGGTATTCATTTAATTTTTTTACATAAGTAAATTTCGCGCAATAGAGATGAAAATTGAAGCATCCGGTTTGTCTATTCACAGTTTTTTTTTTTTTTTTTAAATATTTTTAAAGGTGGAAATAATTCCTTTGTTTTCCATTTTTATTTTTACAATATTACGTTCAATTTTGATGGGCGTTTATATCAATTAGATGAGAAATCCTGTGGTGACTTGAATTTTTCTTAATAAAAAATTATTTTGTAATAACTATAATATTAAAAAATAAGGTGGATTTAAATTGGTTTTTCATCATAATTTCGAACAAATTTTTTAGTTTCTCTTTATGTAAGTACCCATATTATTTTATTTGCTACACATACCTTAGAAGGATATTGAATCGATACTTTAGAATTTTACAAAGAAAAGACAAATAAGAGCAATTCAAAAACTTCTAAAAATAAATTTTAATGTAATTACAATCACATTTTTTCTTGGAATTTATAACATCTTACTTTGAATAATTTGTTGTAGTTGCGATTCTAAAAGTAATCGAAATTGATTTTAAGATGAAGATGAAAACGTCCTTTTTTTCAAAATACAAGATTACTCCTGAGAAACGTCTTACTGATAAAAGTAACAAACTATTAAGAACTGTTTTGTGACATGTAACATCTACAGCTTCTACGTGTTTTCTTCAAGATATTATATATTATAGCGTGATACCAAATATCAAAGAACTACAGTGATCTTGAAACTAAAAAATATATTGTATTTAATCTAGTTACGTCCTTCTAATGTTTGCCTGTTCCAATTATTATTCATGGCAGGAATCCAACAAAATTTCCAATTACATTTCCAAGTTTTCCAATTATTATTTTATTAAGAACTTTTTAGCTTTTCCTAAACGTTCTTCCCTATCTTTCAGATTGTATCCCCTTCCGTGCTTTCTTTAACATTTCGCAATGTTTTTGCTATGTAATGAAGAAAATATTAAATTTTTACATTGCGATTTCAGTAAAATTAAAAATTTAGAATTATGGCTAATAATTTTGATCAATTGCTCAACTGTTCATCTGATCAACTGATCAATTGATATTAATATTATTAGAAATTTTTTATTTTATAACTAAAATTGAGATGACAATCGTATTAAAAAACAATTTGTACATTTAACTATAATAATGGCTATTTTGATCCTAAAATCGATTTCTTATAACAAAGAATCGATTTTTTACCGTTACAGTTTTATAACGATCGCATTCAATTTCAGATAATTACTTTAATGTATCAATCAATCTCAATTTGTAATTGTAATTAAATGCAAATTAGAAGTCGCTGCAAGTTTTTAATTTAAGTGTTCTCAGAACTAACTAATCTTAATCATAATAATCGATCAAAAATAAACGATTTCTATATAGAAACAGTTAAAAACGATTAAATAATAAATCTTAAGTAATAATTACATTTAATAAAGTAATTCATAACGATTTTGGATTTTTATTTTATAAAATAAAATTATAATTAATTTTCCAACTCCTAATACAGTACACGTATATAACGAAGATGTAATCGATTCCTCACCCACCTGTTGTTCTTTTTTTTTTTTCTACCATATTTGAATACTAAAACTGCTTGCACATGTCTGTATTTCAATGAACTAAGAGTAAATGAATAAAAAATATAATAATTATTACCAAAAATATCTCACCTGTAACGCGTTTTGATTATGTAGAGAAGAAGAGGAAAAAAATGGAAATGAGAAAAATTAAATAATAAATTTGAATCATCTGCAAAATATCGTGCCTAGCAATTTTTGTTGGAGAGTGAATTTTAACTGTAGTTGTATGTATGTGAATGTACAAATGATAATGAATTTTGAAGTTTTGTGTACAAGATTTTTGTATCGTGTTGCGGTCTCTTTAATAAATTTTTTGAAAAACGAATTTGAAAACTTTGAAATTCCCACGTAATCCTATGTAATATGAAATCGTTTTATTTTATTTTCATTATTTTAAAATTTAATCCAATGTTGCTGATATTCTTGGCCTACCATCATTTTTTTTTATTTGAATTAAATTTTTGCTTACGTCCATTTTTGCTATTCTTTTTGTTTATATATAAATGGGGATTTACACGTCGTTTTGTATTACCATTGCAATACAAGTTAAGATTTAAAATAGTTGATGTTTGAATATTAAATAAATATTCGTATAATATTTTTTATAAGTTATATTACATTTATTATTAAAATCATAATGGTATGGTAATCTTCAAATCCAAATCGATTATGTAATTAAAAAACATTCAATCATTTGAATAAAAGAATTACAAAGTTTAAAGGGATTTTTGTTAAATCATAATATCTAGGATATAGTTAAAAATATTTCAACATTACACTATAATGGATAAGGGAAATTATTGTTTAATTCAATTAAATTTTGAAATAGGGCATTGATTATACGAGGTGATTAGTTTCTTAGGATTTGCAATTTGTAACATAAGTAAATGAAATCGATTTAAAAATGAAATCAAGTTAGAGAAGTTTTGTAGATATCAATCGTTATTATTTACTTTTTTTCATGTAATTTTCCTTTCAATCCATATTTTTTGGAATAATGTTGGCCGCAGTTAAATTGATCTATGCGAACAGTAAAATTTTAAGCCATTTTTTTTAAATATTTTGGCTGAAATGACTTTATTCTGATATTGCTATACTGATGTTGTTTGATATTATTTTCAAAGGCTCCATATATGTTGGATGCTCTATGGTAACAAGATCTTTCATATACTCTCAAACAATAATTTGAAGATTTCAACTCTAATGAATACGATGGTCAATAGCCACTCTTAAAACAAGAAATAATTTGTTCACCAAGCTGGTTTTCAGTTGTAAATGGTAGCTGTGTTCGGGCGCCAGTTTCTACTTAGAGAAATAGTATATCAAACTGAGTTGATTTCAGTTACAAATTACTCATAAAGTGTCAAAAATGAAAATACGAAAACCAAAGCAATACACACTAAAAAAATCACCTCTTATTTTTTCTATTTAATTCTATAAAATATCGTTTCCGTTCGTGCTATTCGTGAAATTGGTATTCGTACTTAGGTCATGAGTGAAAAATTGCTGTATTGTGTACAATTATAGCAACTAACGGTTGGCACTCTTTATTTTAAGATAATTAGAAGCAAAGAGTTATTTACAAAATCTTAAAATTTCCAGTGAAAATTCAAAATTTCATCTTCTAAATCATTAAATATTCAATCTATTTAGCAATTAAATTCTAAATTTTAATATTTTCATATTAAAAATTTTTTTTAAATACTAAAAATATTAAGGAAATTTTATATTTGAAAAATTTTACTATTAAAATTTTAATATTTTTAACATTATTGTTCGTAAGGAATTTTATGATTTTAATATTGCTTTTTTTTTAATGTCATGATGTTTGGTTGAGTGGCTGAGAATTGCGACTGCCTGCAACAAAGAATATACGTTATTTTTTGTTTTTATTCTCATTTCATGTTGATTTTGCAGGAATTTTTTTTTTACTTATACAATCGCGC